GTGTGTGTGTGTGTGTGTGTGTGAGTACATACTCTCTTCCTGACTGTCTTGGTGCTGATGGAACGATTGTGTGTGTAAAACTCTGGACAGAACCAACGTGGCGTTGTCACGAACCTGAAGTGAAAAAGATGAAAAAGAAAAATATGAGTTAATAGAGTCACAGATTCTCAGTTTTTATTTCTCTCTTCAGGTTTTATTCCCGTTTAAAATAACAGACACTCAATAATCAGATAAAACCTGCAGCAAAGTTGAACTTCACTTGGCTCTCAAAGCTTGAAAAGAAATAAATATGTCTCAAGTCCAGTTTGAGTATCCGTCGTCGGGCAGCAGATATCACTCCACCGCACCGAGGACAGTTCCTCTCAACAATTAGAGAATAAAGCTTTCAGAAAAAAAGGAAGTTAATTAAGCTCCATTCAGACGGGATTATCATTACAGGAGGAGACGGGGGAATTAAATATTCCCCTCGCTGCTCGTAATTAAACTCATCCTTCTGCAGTTCTGAGTTTCACCCGCTGGGGAACGACAGGATCTGGTTTCTAATGGACGCAGCACAAAGCCTGAAGAGTTGGAAGGACGGTTGAAGGGGAAACGTAGACGAGGCGTGATGTGAATATGAGAGGAAAGAAAAACGTCGAGCTCACGTTGTAATGAGCCAGAGTGTTGAGCCTCTTCCAGCGTCCTTCCTTCTGAGAGGTCAGGTCCAGGTCGGACAGGATCTGACCCGTGGAGCCGGGGCGCCACTCTGAGGACAGACGTGGAAACGACAGGTGCGTTTATATTTAAATTCAGCTGAGAGGAAAGAAAACACGACAAACAGCTCCAACCACGACACAAAGTTCAGAAAAGGAAACAGAAAACGATTCCGCTGAGAGGATTTCTTACTTTTGTTATTTGCTAACAATCAAATTAATTATTGTTATTTAACAACCGGACGGATGAGACACGGACCAACAGAGAACTCATTACATTTCTGACATTTTTCCAAATCCCTGAGGTGAATCCTCCTCATTCGCACCGTTTTGTATGAAATAACCTTTTGTTAATCTTTACTGATGAGCAGCAGCTTGTTTCTCAGGTGATTCACTCGTTTTTCTGTTTCTTACCCAGAGCGACGCTCTCCACCTTCGGCCTCTGTGAGTACGGCAGATTCCTGTAAACCTGATCGATGATCTTCTCTTTCACCTGCACGGCAGAAAATGAAGAGTTTTTAAATTATATTTCACAAAATTATCTGGTGCACAGATTTTATCAGCAGACGTCGGATGAATCCAGTTGAGGTTACGCTACAAAAAACTAAAATTAAGTTGCGGAAAATGAAAGAACTCATGAACTAAAACCAGAAATGATAATAAACTAACAAAATAAACTAACAAACTAACAAACCAACCTGTGTGATGGTGTCACAGTTCAACACCTTGACTGGAGTCACGTCTGGTCCCTCCCCGTGCACCAACACCTGCAGAGTCTGACACCACAAACACACGTCAATCACACACCAATCCTGAGCACACACACACACACACACACACACACACACACACACACACACACACACACACACACACACTGTCCACACTCACCAGCACAGAGTACTCGACGTCATCTCCCAGCAGCCCCGTGTCGTTCAGGGTGTACTTGGCTTTCTTCATCTTGGCGTCCACAGGTCCTTTCTCCACCTGGTGCTTCAACGCCTTGAACAGTTTGTACAGAGGTTCTCCTGCCGTGTCCTACACACACATACACACATGAACGTGCGCGCACACACACACACTGTTATCATTTTCTTTATATGAAACCAAACAATCGTAGTCGTCGCCTCCTTGTTTTCAAAGTTCTACAGAGTTTGGAAGTTTGGAGAAAGTGAAATCAGAGAAACATCCGCTGCTGTCGTCACTTTCAACTTCTCAAATAAACAAAACAAAAAAAACAGGTTCAAGTTTCTTAGAGTCAATTATAAGTAAAGGAACAGGAGGAGAAAGAGGAGGGGGGAGGAGGTGGAGAGGGAGGGGGAGGAGGAGAGGGAGGAGAGGGAGGGGGAGGAGGAAGTGGAAACAAATGGAACAACATAGAATAAGTAATTTGTAAATAAATAATTTGTTTTACCCGGAGGAACTGATAGAGACAGATGGACATCCAATTACACAGCATCCTCTCCACCACCGTCTCCGACCTGCACACACACACACACACACACACACACACACACACACACACACACACACACACACACACAGAGCAGATTAGCATCACATGAATTGTTTTAAAGGATAAAAATAATAGAAAATGAAATAAACATCAGTTGTTATTACTATAATTATTATAATTATTATTCATCATCATTATTAATATTTATCTACTTTAACAGTTTCTCAGACTGTGGGTGTGACTGTACGCCCCCCCCCCCTCACCTGCGGAGCATAAGTTTCGGGTGTTTGCTCATAACGTGTTCGTCCATCAGCTCCAGCAGCAGCGTGCTCATGATGTCCGTGTAATACTCCAGTTTGCCGTGCAGCGCCACCGTCAGGAGGGAGGCGAAGTAACCGCGAGCCCGAGCGTTGAAGTCCGGCCGACTCTCCAGCGTGTGGATGAACTGGAGCCGGACAGAACGAGGGGATTTTAAAACTTAGAACAACTGAACGATGGTGATTTTAAATAGACTCAAACTCACGTTGATGAGGAAGGTTTTGCTGTTCAGCAGGTTGGAGAACTGGGTGAGCGCCTGAGCCACGATGGCCTTGCGGGCTTCTGGGATTTGTATTTTCCCCGTGATCATGGTGTCGTTGACGCCGTCCTTTGACGGCAGGAAGAAGTTGCGGTCGGTGTAGGTCTTGTAGTCGAGGAAGGGGATCCGAGCCTCGCTCAGGTCGCTGGTGTGATCCTCCATCTCGATCATCAGGTCTGACGGAGACACAGAGACATTTATTCACCATCTTCACACCAGATTCATCCTCGGACGCTGGAGGAGTTGAGTCATGTGACGTTCAGGTGAGCGTACCTGTGAACTCCTTCTTGCAGCGATCTCGGACACTTTCCTCCAGATTCTCCAGCTGGTGTTTGACCTTCTCGTATTCTCGCTCCGCCTGCTGACTCTTCCTCCTGTTACACACACACACACACACACACACATCTATGAAAAATGAAATACGTCTCTGTGTCAGTATCTTAAATATATTTCCGGAGGATCGGACCTGTAGCAGTAGACGGACACAGCGATGAAGAGCAGCATGGGGACGATGACGGCCGGGATGATTATAGCCAGAGGAATGTCGTCTTTCCTGGCGTAGTAGACGGAACCCACGAGCCACTCGCCGTGACCGAACTTCACCTGAGGAGACGGAGATCGTACGTGTCGTTTTTTCAAACACTATTTATAAAATACTGAAAGTAGATGTTTGCACAGATTAGAATCCCACAGTGTTACTGTGAGTCTGGAGCGATGGAGCTAAATCCACGTCCCCCTGTGATGTCACGTTAATCCGAACAGGAAGCTGTAATGTTTTTTATTTTTACCATGAGCTCCAGCAGGTTGGTCGTGTCTCTGCGTTGGCGTTTGGATCTCGCTCTGGGCTGCGTTGACGGAGCCTCCAGGATCAGCTTGTCGTCCTGTTCAGAGTCGACAGAGAGAGGGAATGAGATGCTGAAAGAAGAGACGGTCTCCTCCTGCTTCACTTCCTTGCTCCGTGTTTACCTGCAGGATGTTAACGTGACAGGACGCGTCTCCGACAAACGCCTCGGCCTCGATGGCGCTCATCGCCTTGGAGAAGCCCCGACCCTGAGAAACAGAGAACCAGTGATTGAGACGCAGAGATGAGGACGGACGTCTAGTTTAAAAAAGCAAAATCTCCTCGTCCTCACGGTCACGATGATGATGCTGGTCTCGGTGATGACGTTCTTGAGGAGTTCGTCGAAGCTGGGGTCGGGGTGGTAGTCGAAGTTCTTCAGCTGCTCTGTCATGCTGTCCAGATGCAGGACGGTCCTGAGCGTCTGCGTGTCGAGCGAGGTGTTCACTGGCGGAGAGTAGAACTGCAGCACGGTGTCGTTCTTACTCAGAAACTCCTCAACAAACTGACGGAGACATGCAGACGAGAGAATTTAACGCGAGCTGTGACAATTCGTTTCTCTCTAAAGAGCCAGAATCTGGGTTTATTGACAAGGTTTACACACAGAGGGAACGAGTGAGAGCTGAGGAACAGTCACACAAAAAAACTGGAAGAAGAGAAACTGGAGCTGAGGAGTGGAAGAGAAAAACTGATCTGTCGGAGGGATAAATAAAAACGAGAAAAAACAAAGAGGGAGAAGAAAACTCCATCAATCTGACACAACTTTCTGCACACACACACACACACACACACACACACACCTACGCAAACTTTCTGCACACACACACAAACTCACCTCCTCCGAAGTGGCGGCCTGTGAGAACTCGTCATACGCGGCGACTTTGATCGTTGCTCTTTGGATCAGGTCAAAACCATTTCCTGTGACCACGATCCTCCGACCACCACTAAACACACACACACACACACACACACACACACACACACACACACACACACACACACAGTTAATATAAGCTTGGAGTGATTGACAGGTGAACAACTTGAAAACATTCTCCATATTTAGTCTTATGAACTTTATTCTGTCATTTCTTCTTCTTCAGTGATCAGTGGCGTCTCTAAGACAAACTCAAACCTCACACTCACCACAGGAAGCTGGCTTTGGGGTTATAATCTGTGATCTTGGGGTTTTCAGAGTACTGGTACGTCGCCGGGACGTCTTTGGTCGTGTTCCTTCCGTATTTGACCGTCACCGTCAACGGGTCGGAGGGAACCTTCTGTCCGCGGTACCTCCCCGTCTTACAGGTGATGTTTTCGCCGAAGGAAAGGCTGCAGAGACGCCGGAAGACACAGACCGTTAACGTCTCTCAGGAAGACAAAGTACAAATACACATGTGGTCAGGCGTCGCTTACATCTCACAGGGAACTCCTCCGACAGTGACGGCGATGTCGTCTTTAGTCGCCGTGTCCAGGTCTGTTCCGTTGATGGTGATCACGGTCCCTCCGGCGGCTGGACCCCTCACCGGGTCGATGGCAACAGGTTTAGGATCCTAGGACAGAAAATATTTTTAATTATAGCAACAAAAAGACGAAGACAGTCGATCCCAAAGCAAATGACTTGAACTTCACCTGAGGAGACAAACAATCAGTTTGATCACTTCAGGAAACATTGACTTTTCTCACATTATGATATGAAACAAGAATAAATGTCATATTTTTATGTTTCCTGCTTCTTCAAGTGGTTCAGTGGCACATGACTGGAAGAAGAGCGCCACCAAGTGTCCATCTCTACTACTACATTCATCCCAGCAGTGGAGGGAGATCTGCATTAAATTCATTCATGCGTGTTTTCTTCACATTGCTCGGAAATGATCGACAATGACGCATCAGTACCTCCTTGACTTTATTATGACTTTAAATAGTTTTTATATTTCCTCCATTAAAACCTGTGAGACTTACGTTTTTTTTTGTCCCCCAGATGAAAAACATTTATTTCCACTGAGGAAACTTTGAACACAAGAGGAAAAACAACAGGATCCATCAAACCAAACAACACAAAGAGAAAAATTTAATGAGAAAATTGGACCAAGAAAAGTTTGTTGTGTTCCAGCAGGTGCCGACGCTTTGATCACATCAAAACCAAAAATATATTTCAAATATCACAAAGCTGCAGAGCTCAGCGAGGTGTGACGGGGGGGAAAAAAGAAGTGGAACGTCACCGCGGGGGAATTTCATCAACTCGTGTGTTTGAAGAATATTGATAAAGCAGACGACAGCGGCAGAAACACACCAGCTGGTCGTTTCCCGTTTGCTCTGGTTTGTTCTGCACGGCGCCGACTGAACGACAAACACAACGAGACGGGAGATTAATTCTCAGAGACACTGGAGGATGAAATGTAAGAAGTCAATCTGAGACGAGATTTGAAGCAGTCGAGCACCGAGCGGGGGGGAACTTACACGTGGTTATTTGGAGGAGAGGTGAAAAAATAAAGAATGAGAATATTAGTAAAGGTGTAAATGTGAATCCAAAGTTTGTCTGGTGTGCAGCTGCTGAGATGAGCACAGGTGTTCGGAGCGTTGCGGTGTCAGATTTGTTCTCGAGCCACAAACCGGAGGAAGAAAAATCCCCGGAGAGACACGAGCTCATCACAGCTCGGCCCGGCTGCGAGTTACACACAAACAAACAGCGGCGCAGGAGGAAGCAGCAGAAACTGAAATATATCTGGTCTGAGCGTCAGACGGTTCCATATTTTGGCTCTGAAGGAAAGAAAACTAAAAAAAAAAAAGAAAGAATGAAACCCAGAGATTCAGGATCAGATAAAACAACGAACGGAAATATGAACGCATCCATCTCTTTCCAGGAGAGAAAGGAAAACAGAAAAACCTTCATCAGCTGCTGAACTAATCGATAATCTTTGATCAGTTATCACAGGCTCTCAGGCCACCGACGATCCTCACTCAACCTTTATCATGTTCGTTATATTTGTGTGAATAAAGATGGACCGAAGCTAAAATACCTCAGAGGAGCGTTGATTCATTGTTTGGGCTGAAAATGTCATGAAATAAATCTTTATAACAAACAAATCCTCCATCCTCGTGTCTGAGGAGCTAAAATCAAAGATGCAGAGCGAAGGAGTGAAGCTGCGGAAGTTGATCCGTCTGCAGTTTGCTTTAATTATCCGTTCGTCAGCTCTGCAGCAGGAAACGTGTTCGACTTTCAACCGTAAACACCTGAGCCGTGTTCCAGGAAGGAAACAACAGCGGCTGTGAGTTATTTGTTGATGGTGTTTGTTTCTGTTTGTCGTGAGCAGGAAGAAGCTGCTGGAAGTTGAGAACAGTTTTGTGCGGCTGTGAATTTGAATGTGGGGGATATTTTTATGCCTCGCTGCATCTTCGGGGAGCAGATTTTCCTGCAGCCGGCGCCAGAGAAAAGGCTGCGTGACTTCACTTTGTTCCAAACCTTTTACTGCTGCAGGGATTTGTTCTCGCGGGTTTGAAGTGTCAGTGTTGTGAGTCTCCTCTGAGACTCTGATGAGCTGTGTACTCAGAGTCTGCAGGTTTCACAACAACACATTTAATCTTTTCTTACAGATTCCAGCACCTGAACCCAGATTTTATTATTGAAATTACAAAAAATCAACTGTAACCTCTGATGAAAAGGAGCCAGTGAAGGTGAAAGCAGATGTACATGTTGTACATGTTGTACATGTTGTACATGTGACTGTTAAACACGTGTGGTCCTGACAGATAAAAGGGGTTCAGACGTACCCGATATGTGAACTTGACCCGAGACGTCCCTGTCCCCCCTCCCTCCACCTCTATCTGCACCGCTCCGCTGTAGGTCGGTTCAACCGGGAGGTCGAACGGGGGAACTCGCCTCGCCGGGCCGATCTCACACACCACACTGCGGAGGAGAGACAGAGAGAGAGAGAGAGAGAGAGAGAGAGGAGACATTAAAAAATAACAACGGCTTCCAGGTAGAGCTGCGGCTGATGTTTTATTTCTTGAATAATTGATGAATCACTATAAAATGGGGAGAAATGAACATCACAAATCCAGAGGTATTCAGTTCACAGTCGTAGAAGACGATGGCAAATAGAAGAAGAAAAAAAATCACATTTGAGAAGCTGGAAGCATTTTTCTGAGAAGAAACAGACTCAAATTGATTAATTGATTTTGAAATTGCTGCAGGAGCTTTAAGCATGTGTGGACATAGGATCCACTGACTCGTGTTTTCACTTCCTGAGCAAACGGCGTTCTACTCCGAGGCCGTGAGGCGCGGAGGAAAGCCCCCGAAAATGTTGTGATTTCCAGCTAAGGTGGTTGAAAGTGTTTTTACTTTATTGTCCTTAAACAATTATTTCTGTTCCGTAAAACACAAACAGCTTCTGACAAATTACGCCTCTTAAATTCTCCTTAAGTTTACAAGGATGAAACATCAAAATATAAAAAGATTCTCGTCTTCTGTTCGTCAGCTGCAGTGATTTGGTTCAAACTGCTGCTTAACAAGTGACCGAGGATTTAAAACATCTGTGCTGTGAAACTTTTACATGTAAATACAAAGTTTTCTGGGTTTTTTTCCACCTAATAAAACCAGATGATAAACTCCTGCTCGGTCAGAGAGGAGGAGGTGATGTCCTGTCATCAGCAGCTGTTACCTGGTAGAGACGGAGTATCGCTCCTCCTGGTGGACACAGTCGACTCCGGCCACCGTGATCTTCCTGATGTCCTCCTTCTTTATTCCCATGTTGGAGCCTTTGATGGTGACGGAGATGCGGCCGTTGAGAGGACCGAAGCGAGGGATGATCTGAGGAGGAGAGGAAATAAGAGGCACCGGATCAAACCAGACGTTTCTTCTACAAACCAAACTTTCCCTGAAGTTCTCTTTTCTTGTTTGTTCATTTTCAATATCAGCTCTTCCGCCATCGTCCCGTGCGTCGCTGGATGCTTCATTTCTATTCGTTATACGTGAGCTTGACCTTTCACCTCTGGCCACTGGGCGGCGCTGGAGCGGAGGCATACAAACTAACACACATCTAATCGCGGCTGCATGCGTTTATAGTTATTATGACATCAGAGTTAAAACTGAGAAACTTCTTGTTCCTGCGGTTCACTGAAACATGAGACGTCTTGATCTGCCTCTGTCTGACCACGTGACCATCTCAGCTGCAACATCTGTTCAAAGTGTCCGAGGTCTCCGCCTCCAGCTCCAACGTGCAAATAACCAACAACTCTTGACCTCATCAGCCGCCGCCCACAAATCGAGACGCCGCTCGAAACAAATGACGACGTTCCAGAGAAAATGGGAAAACATATTGAAGCCGCGTCGCCCACGGAGACAAACTGTGAATCCGAAGCGAGAGAGTGAAAACAAGAGACGCTAAAAAAAACAAGAGGCGGCCGACCGAGAAATCGTCTGTTTGGATTTCAGAAATGTAATTTGCTCTAAAGGAAGATGAATGAAATGAAAGAGGAAAGAAGTGATTGGACACAGTGAGGGAGTCTGATTTCACAATCATCCCGACAGATGCAGGGATTCTATTCTTCCTTTATCGATGATTTCTGCTTCACATACGCACACAGGGACGAGACGCAGCCTGAGGTGAACTCACACAGTTGATATGTTCACGTGTGTTCCTGCAAAGTTTAAACACGTCAGGCGACCAGTGTGTGAAGACTTCACGTGAAAACATGCAAACAACATCTCAGTTTCTCACAAAGTTGTAAAAACCATGTTTCAAATCTCACTGATTGTTTTCCCCAGATTACAGTCTGGAGCTGTGGGTAGATTTCCAACGTGACCAGACTCAGGTTTCCAGACTCTGAGTCCAACGTTCAACACATTTTAAAAATCCTCTGAGACAAACTTCGAACTTCATCCACCTCCGAAAAAAACACTTCAAGTATTCAGTTTCAGCTTCAGTTCACCATCGACTCCACCGCGGCTAAAGGTCACAGGCGTATTTCAACGGCAGCACAAAACCCCTCCTGTTGTCATGGTGATACTGCAGCGAGAGTTTCCTTTGACTCACATCGGTGATCTCGGGGTCGGGACACTTTGCCGGCTGCGACGACGGGCACAGCTCCCGGTAAACACAGGAGCGAGTGGCGGAGCACCACACACACTGGTACTGGGCGGCGGCGTGTTTACACAGGCTGCAGTCTTCTCTTCCCACTGAGCAGTTATACAGCACCACTGGAGGGAGGAGGAGAGGAGGAGGAGGAGAGGAGAGGAGGAAGAGGTGGAGGAGGTGGAGAGGAGGAGGAGGAGGAGAGGAGGAGAGGAGGAGGAAGAGGAGGAGAGGAGGAAGAGGTGGAGGAGGAGGAGAGGAGAGGAGGAAGAGGTGGAGAGGAGGAGGAGGAGAGGAGAGGAGAGGAGGAGAGGAGGAGGAGGAGAGGAGAGGAGAGGAGGAAGAGGAGAGGAGGAAGAGGAGGAGAGGAGGAGAGGAGGAGGAGGAGAGGAGGAGGAAGAAGAGGAGGAGGAGAGGAGGAGGAGAGGAGGAGAGGAGAGGAGGAGAGGAGGAAGAGGAAGAGAGGAGGAGGAGGAGGAAGAGGAGGAGAGGAGGAAGAGG